CACCATTTTTTTTTTTAAATTAATATAATCTGACTTATATCACTTTGGCCATCACTGGCCGTGCGTTGTCTCTGCTTGTGTCTTTATTTTAGCATGAATAAATGTTTTTGAGTGAATAAATGATAGTTGGTTGGTCGGTCGGTTGGCTGCTTGACTGCTATAGCTGTGTAGTTTTGTATGATTTCTTTGTCTATGTTTCAATTTGTTTGTTTGATGCTGACATTTGTATTAAATTGTTAAGGATTTGCAAATGATTTAATCGTTCTTTTCAACATTCTGTTGGAAAACTCTTTATTGTTGTCGTTCTATTAAAACAAATGGAAAAAAAGCTTTGATGCTTGTAAATGCTAAAGTGCAAATATAAACAAATGATTTAAAACTAAAGGTGTGGAAGTAGGATGCATATTGATAGTTATAAAAAGGAGAAAAATGACAACAATAAATTTATTTCAATTCTTAGTAAGTTTGAAAAAAAAGATACGAATTTTCAGAAACTTTAAGGCAATTTTTATAAAAAATTTACTTTCTTTATGAGTAGCTTGGTACGTATACTTATTGCAATTATAATTTTAACACTCATACGTACTGGTTCTCTTTTTTTTGTGATATTTGTGTTACCTTAGAAACCTGTACGTATGAGTTTTAAAAAGCTATATATATTAAGTATACGTATGTACGTTTTTTAACTTACGTTTTTATTGTGAAAATTATCATGAATTTGTTAAATTTATCTTTTTAATTAACATGTTAAAAGAAAAACTAGATATTAAATACCATAAAAAAGTAAATTATAGCAAAAAGTTTTTTTCAAATATAAAATTTTTTTTAATAGGAATACCTATAAAATAGTTATATTCATATTTCACATTAATTACCTTTACACAACCAGCACGATTTCCCATCAAATCACTAACTAATGGTAATAAATGCTTAATAAAACAAACATAAACATTAAATTTTTTGTGTTCATAAATCACCACATTTTCATTAAAAAATTAATAGAATTTTTGCCATAAAAATTTTCACTACATATTTTTTTAATGCACATCATCACAGTATAACGTTAAAGTAATATTTTGCCTGTCACATAGTGTGTGATGATTATGTTATAAACAATTTATGACAAAGAAAACGATTATTTATCAACAACATAAAAAAATAATCAAAGCTGTTTTTTTCAGTTGCCAACTATTTTTTTTACTACAAATTTTATTTAAAATTGTTGGTAATAAAGAAATAGTTTTTTTTATAACTACTAACATATAAAAATGAAAAGTAGTGAAAAAATAACTAAAAATGAAAATTACATGCTGTCATTCTTTCCAAAACGGGTAGAGGTTGAGTGACTGAACTATACTACTTACAGCAGTTTTCAAATATTTTTGGTCTTGTGCATAGAATTTCATTAGAAACATTTATCAAACTGCATGATGATGAGTAGCTAAATTTTTTTTGGTTATATATGCTTTTGGTTATAGTAATGTAAACAACAACAAATATGTATAAAATTTAAAGCTTAAAAAAAAAAAAAAAAAAAAAACAACAACAGATAGAATTAATATTGCAAAACTTCCTTTTGAAAATTGCACAGTTTTTCGGAAAAAAGTAGCAGTGCTGCTGTATAGTGTTTTTGTATGGCAGCGCAAAAACAACATGATGACATATAACTAGTTAATGTTTTAGTTTTAGGTATTCATAAAATGGTAGTTAGATTGAACAGTAACTGAATTACTAAAGTAGGCTAGAGTGGCAGAGCTGATGGTGCGCGTTGAAGTCCTTAAGGATCAGACGCATATCGACGTCTAATAGGGTCCTAATGTCAGGACGGTGCCTGGACGGTGCAACTGGCTACTGGCGGAATATAGACATTATAGAGCTCTAGGTCGGTTTTCCCCGATCTGACTGCAATACCTTGAACTTCAAGGTATTGGTCTCTAGCATTGAGATCGATGTAAAGAGCTCTTTACTGCACTGTGTTTTGTATGATGAATGCAATGCCCCACCGTAACTTCTGGTTCGGTCTTTTTGGAAAACGTTGTTACAACAGTGCAGACTGGAATTACTTGTCAGGCTTGTTTCCTGGACCCCGACTGTATATGCTATCCTATAGCCTTGAGGTATAGACTGCCAGTAACTCGGCTCTCTGGTCTTTCCCTAGGTTAGATTGCAAGAGCTGATGGTGCGCGTTGAAGTCCCCAACGATCAGACTTATATCGCATTCTAATAGGGTCCTAATGTCGGGACATTGGCCTGATGGACAACTGGCTACTTTCTGAATATAGGCATTATAGAGCTCTATGTCGGTTTACCCCAAACTGACTGCAATAGCTTGAACTTCAAGAGCTCTATACCGTACTGTGTTGTGTATGATGAATGCAATGCCCTAACGTAACTTCTGGTGCGGTCTTTTCGGAAAACGTTGTATCAGTTACAACACCGCAGACTGGAATTACTTGTCAGTGTTGTCTCCTGTACCCCGATAGTATATGCTATCCTATAGTCTTGAGGTATAGACTGCTAGTAACTCGGCTCTCTGGTCTTCCCTATGCTAGAGTGCAAGAGCTAATGGTGCGCGTTGAAGTTCCCAAGGATCAGACGCATATCACCGTCTAACAGGGTCCTAATGTCGGGACGGTGCCTGATGGACAACTGGCTACTGGCGGAATAAAGACATTATAGAGCTCTTGGTCGGTTTACCCTGATATGACTGCCATACCCTGAACTTCAAGGTATTGGGAAAGAGCTCTATACTAAACTGTCATGTGTATCATGAATGCAATGCCCCAATATTGCTTCTGGTGCGGACTTTTCGGAAAACGTTGTATCCGTGACAACAGTGCAGACTAGAATTACTCGCCAGTTTTGTCTCCTGGACCACAACAGCTGGTTCTACGTACCGGAATTACCCGTAATTATCGTCCAAGGCCTTTCAACTCCAGCAACAGCAACTGGGGGAATATAGACATTATAGAGCTCTAGGTCGGTTTACCCCGATCTGCCTGCAATACCTTGAACTTCAAAGTAATCGTCTCTAGCATTGAGATCGAGGGAAAGAGCTCTATACAGCCCAGTGTTGTGTATCATGAATGCAATGCCCCAACGTTGCTTCTGGTGCGGACAGTGCAGACTGGAATTACTCGTCAGTTTTGTCTCCTGGTCCCTGACAGCTGGTTCTATGTACCGGTATGGCCGGAAAGTATCGGCTGTCAACTCCAGTAATAACTTTCTTTTGCAATAGTTTTGATTATATGCTATCCTATAGTCTTGTGATTGAGAGACTGGACTGGACTGGACTATAGTCTGGAGTATAGAATATGTAGCTTTTATAGAATATTTATCTATATGTGATTATAACGATAAAATTTTTAACTTTTAAAATTTTCTTTTATGTAACAAGATAGAATATCTTTAAGAGTTTCTGGCATTAGGAAATTTGTTTTCCAAAGTCTACTACTTTTTGTTTTTTGTACATATTTTAATTTTCATTAAAATTGGACGTTCATTTAACGTTGGATTGTTATAATTTAATAGTTCATTAAAATTTTGTTGACTTTTTAATTCTTCTCCTTGCTCCAACTTATAGTAGTTTCAGTTCAAAAACATGATGAAAAACAACGTTACAGTGTAAATGACAAGGTTGTTGATGAGTTTGTTTTTTCTTCGGCATGCATACTCCAAAAATAGGTAGCTAACGTAATGGTAGACTTTGGTCCAACAAAGGGTTTGTAACTTTAAGAATATCTTTATCTTTATAGAATATCAACTTTCTTCGAACAAATATTAAATAAAATTTAGGATAAGTTTCAGAAAATATAATTAAAATATGCTATAGTGTTAATTTTAAAAATTACCTTTTAAACCTTTAGTAGCTTTAAGATCCCCTATAGAGGAATTTATTAGGTCGACCTGACTTTTCTATGGAAAATTTTCTTTATAGTAGTTGCAAAATTTTTGCCATTATCATCAGTATTCATATACAAACATTAGCACTCGGTTTCGTCGTAAAACTTCTCTTCACCCTCTTATACAGTTTAGTGAGAAAACATTGTCATTTATTTAATTTTTGTTGACAGTTTTGTTGTGCTGTTGAATGAAGTAAAAATGAAAAATTATAATGATTAAAAATAAAACTAAAAAGAAATGAAATCAAAAAATTTTAGTTTTGATAAAAATTTGTAGGAAAATTTATAAAATTTTTGGAATTTGAATTATTTTAAATAAATTTTGGAAAGAAAATAAACATTTTAGTCTCAGCTAGAGAAAGAGAGAAAAAAGCAAAACACTCTCTCTAAAGGAAGCTATAGTTTAACGAGTTTCCTTTATGTGTGTTATCTTAAACCAATTAAAAACTGTATTATGTCGCTTACAATTGACCACTTATATAACAGCATCTAAGAAGCTCTTTTTAGTTGTAGGAGATAAATTCTTGGTTTTACTTAATGAAAAATTCTTATTTAAATTTCTTAAATTCTAAATTTCTTAGAAATGAATGTAATATCTCTTACACAAATATACAACTTTTTGTTCAACATTTGTCTTTATTTATTGTTTAATATTTATATAAACGTTTGAGTGTAGAATACTTGGTATGTGTCAAGGTTTAATTAAACTCTTTTTCTCCAAAACTTTTCAGTTTCTAAAACATTAAATGTTTCTAAAAGTAAATATAAATTACTTATTATACTTTATTTACACAACGTTTATTTCTGTGAAAAGAAATAATAAGTTTCTAAGACAGCCGAAACTAAAATGGTGTGAGTGATTAAGGAAGACGATTATGAATTTATTTATTTTCTTAAACAAAAACATTTCAAATGAGTTTTAAACTGAATATAATTTAAACTGAAAAGGAGGGTTGAAAATTTGTTTTAAATTACCTAAAAAATCTTATGATAAGATTTTCGCAGCAGCCTCTATCGTAACGGTTTGGTTTTTCATTATTTGTTTTTAAGTTACTTTTTATTAAAAAATCTATTATTCTTTTAATTTCTAACAAACAGGGTTATTTGCAAAAACTTAATGTTTATGGCAATCCAGAAGCTCTAGACATAACATGTATTCCACCTCCCAAAAATACGGTAAGTTTAAAACAATTCTGGCTAATTAAATGAAAATTCGAAAACAAAGCTCTTAACCTTAAAAAAGTTCAACGGAAGAATTTAAAAATTAACTATAAACAATTAAAGCTTAAATTGGTAATTATTAAATTACTGGAAAACAAATTTTGTACTGTAAATATTTTTCAATTTTATATTAAAATCAGCAAATATTTATGTGGAAAAATGCAAAGCAAATGAGAAAAAACGAACGAAAAACAATAATGACTGTGGTTTTAATATTTGTGTGAAAGTGTTATTGTATATGTGTAATGGAGCGCATTGTATGTAAAACTAACCAGGATATTAATAATTCACAAGGCAATGATAATGTGTTTGTATATGTGAAAATTTACATATACTTATTTACATATACAAATGCCACTATCAGTGTTACCATTTAGCTGTGATTAAATAATGAAAGTAGTTGTAATTACAAAAAAAAAAAACAGAACTTAATATTGAGTAGCATAGTATGTGTTTCCTTTTTTTGGGTATAATCGTAATATGGTTAAATGGGGTATTTCATAGATAAGAAAAACTGAAGAGATTTTTGAGCTAAGAATTTATTTCGGAAAAGTTTCCAGTCTCCACTTTATTCTGCTTTATAAAAAATATATACAATTTTTTATTATTCGCAATGAAATACCCCTTAGATCCATTATTAACAGACAATGAAACCATTATCATGGTCACAACATACTTTTTGAAACAGAAAATTTTTCATATATTTATTTATATTAGGGTGGCCCAAACGTATAATACATTTTACTAATTGACTAAAAAGCAAAATGAACTGAACTAGAACGGAATTGGAACTAAAATAGAACTGAACTAGAACTGAAGTAGAACTGAACTAGAACTGAACTAGAACTGAACTAGAACTGAACTAGAACTGAACTAGAACTGAACTAGAACTGAACTAGAACTGAACTAGAACTGAACTAGAACTGAACTAGAACTGAACTAGAACTGAACTAGAACTGAACTAGAACTGAACTAGAACTGAACTAGAACTGAACTAGAACTGAACTAGAACTGAACTAGAACTGAACTAGAACTGAACTAGAACTGAACTAGAACTGAACTAGAACTGAACTAGAACTGAACTAGAACTGAACTAGAACTGAAACTAGAACTGAACTAGAACTGAACTAGAACTGAACTAGAACTGAACTAGAACTGAACTAGAACTGAACTAGAACTGAACTAGAACTGAACTAGAACTGAACTAGAACTGAACTAGAACTGAACTAGAACTGAACTAGAACTGAACTAGAACTGAACTAGAAACTGAACTAGAACTGAACTAGAAACTGAACTAGAACTGAACTAGAACTGAACTAGAACTGAACTAGAACTGAACTAGACTGAACTAGAACTGAACTAGAACTGAACTAGAACTGAACTAGAACTGAACTAGACTGAACTAGAACTGAACTAGAACTGAATTCTAGAACTGAACTAGAACTGAACTAGAACTGAACTAGAACTGAACTAGAACTGAACTAGAACTGAACTAGAACTGAACTAGAACTGAACTAGAAACTGAACTAGAACTGAACTAGAACTGAACTAGAACTGAACTAGAACTGAACTAGAACTGAACTAGAACTGAACTAGAACTGAACTAGAATAACTAGAACTGAACTAGAACTGAACTAGAACTGAACTAGAACTAACTGAACTAGAACTGAACTAGAACTGAACTAGAACTGAACTAGACGAACTGAACTGAACTAGAAACTGAACTAGAACTGAACTAGAACTGAACTAGAACTGAACTAGAACTGAACTAGAACTGAACTAGAACTGAACTAGAACTGACTAGAACTGAACTAGAACTGAACTAGAACTGAACTAGAACTGAACTAGAACTGAACTAGAACTGAACTAGAACTGAACTAGAACTGAACTAGAACTGAACTAGAACTGAACTAGAACTGAACTAAAACTCACTAGAACTGAGTCAGTTTCAATTTTAGTGGAATTTGTACTAATAAAGGCCTCCTTAATTAAACATTGTGCATATGTATAGTTTAAGTTTTAATTAAAAAGTAATAGGAAAAAATGAGCATGAACTAAAATGATTTTCGTATTTTTTACAACATTCTTGGTTTCTGTTTGTTAATTCATGTTAATCTGTCGAACCTGATTTTAACTGGAATAAGGTCAAATTATACCATGTTTGTATAGTAAATTTAAATTTTTAACATTTTATTGAGCGGATGCTAAATTTGGCAAAATATTTTAAGTTAAAAATTAACTTTAAATCAGTAGTACAAAAAGCGGATTTAAAGCATGTTTTTGCTGTCCTCTAGAAAATTTATTAATATTAAGGGAACAACAGTATTTGTAAATAAAAAAACAAAATATAAAGTTCTGATTAATTTTCTCGAAATACTTTTATTTTGATTAAATTTCTATTAAAGTGTCGCCATTATTTACTTATTTTCCTGTCTAATACTAGACATAATTTAATACACTTAAAAGGAATTGTTTTAACAAGACACTTTTATTTAATTTCTATTATTTGTTTTCTCATTTGTGTTTGCGTAAATACTATATAGTTTTTAACAACCGACATCCCTTTTCATGTCTGTAGCAATAAATTATAACAAATACAACTATTTACAAACATAGACACATTGAGACACTAACAAATACACACACAGAGTGAGAGAGACGGACATCCTTTTAAACATCAAAAGAAAGGAAACGGTTAAGCACACCTACGTTTGTTTTTGTTAACAACGACAACACAGACAGTGGTTCTGAAAGGTAATAAATAAAAAGAAATTAATGTAGATATAGGGAGAGTGATTAAAATTGTAATTTAATAGTGTTTAAAACAGTGGGATTGATAGAAGGAAGGAGATGGTTAAAAAAGTACTAGATGTTTTGATATGTATGCTGCAAGAGAATTTCAAATCTAAAAAGTTATCCTTTTGATAATAGAAGTTATACTTTGGGAGCTAAGCGTTTGACACCACTGTTCCTATATATTACATTTTTACCTACAAATCTAAATGTATACTATGTATCTGTATTTAGTTTTTACATCCCCAACAAAACTAATACCTGAGTTTGTTTTTATACTTATTATTTTTGTAGAAATACAAGTAAAAAAGGACATTATATTTTTCCTTTTTTATTTTCTCACTCCCCCTTTACACTTTACTGCGACTAATGATTGTTGTTATTTGCCCAGAAAAAAAAACTATACAAGGTATACAAAAAAAAGAGACATATATAAAAAAAAAATATGTGAAAAAGTTAAAAGGATAAAAATTGTTTATAACAGCATCAACATCCTCATCAGTAATGTCCTCATTTTCTTGTTTTTTGTCGCTTTCGTTGTGTGTTTTATTTTCTTTCATTTTCATATCCATAATAGGCGTTTTATACAATTATTGCTATAAATTGTAAGTATTATACAAGTGGTTGAATACTTTTAGTTATACAGACATACCGACAAAAAAAAACGGGGAAAACGTGTAAATCGACATACAAATAGACATATGGTCTTATATGTCTGTAATCGTATGTGCTGCGGTTATAATTTGTAAATATATATGTAGTTTATATAAAAAATATATAAATGTATAAACGTGTCAGTAGACGTTTTAAGTGAATTTAATGTTGTTTACAAATAGTTCTCAATTTTCCCCCTGTTACTGGACTAAAATAAAATACCCAATAAACATAGAAATATTATTATGGTGGTCAACTGGTTACTTTTGTTGGAATTAGTTTAATTAGAGGAGAGTTTGTAACCTTGACCACTACTATGCCAACATAAATAAATCGTAAATTTATCTATTAAAAGATCGGCAACTTTAACATATAATAATATTTTAGATCAAAATAGGCTGACAAGCAATACTTGGCTTGGCACCTTCTATATAAAATTATCTGGGAAGCCATAACTGCTAAAGTCCTCAAATTTTTCACGGGTAATATTAACATATTGAGGCAATATGGGTGGACCCACATAAAGTAAATAACTAAATTCGTACCTCTGTGAAACTGTAACCGCCAGAGTTCTCAAACTAAAAATTTTATTTTTCATTAAAATTTATATTTTCATTCAATTTAATTTTTCACCAAAAAAAAACTTTTTTTAAAAATAATTTAAATTACCAGTTAAAATTTTCATCAAAAATTACATTTTTTACTAAAAATTCAATTCACTTTTCCACTAAAAATTAAATTTTTCACTAAAAATTAATTTTTCACTAAAAAAATCCAATTTTTAGTAAAAATGAATTTTTTTTACTAAAAATTCTCTTAAAATGAAATTTTTTGCCAAAATTCTCTTAAAATGAAATTTTTTACAAAAAATTCAGTTTTCCTCCAAGTTAGTTAGTTAGTTAGTTAGTTAGTTAGTTAGTTAGTTTAGTTAGTTAGTTAGTTAGTTTAGTTAGTTAGTTAGTTAGTAGTTAGTTAGTTGATAGTTAGTTAGTTAGTTAGTTAGTTAGTTAGTTAGTTAGTTAGTTAGTTAGTTAGTTAGTTAGTTAGTTAGTTAGTTAGTTAGTTAGTTAGTTTAGTTAGTAGTTAGTAGTTAGTTAGTAGTTAGTTAGTTAGTTAGTAGTTAGTTAGTTAGTTAGTTAGTTAGTAGTTAGTTAGTTAGTTAGTAGTTAGTTAGTTAGTAGTTAGTTAGTTAGTTAGTTAGTTAGTTAGTTAGTTAGTTAGTAGTAGTTAGTTAGTTAGTTAGTTAGTTAGTTAGTTAGTTAGTTAGTTAGTTAGTTTAGTTAGTTAGTTAGTTAGTTAGTTAGTTAGTTAGTTAGTAGTTAGTTAGTTAGTTAGTTAGTTAGTAGTTAGTTAGTTAGTTAGTTAGTTAGTTAGTTAGTTAGTTAGTTAGTTAGTTAGTTAGTTAGTTAGTTAGTTAGTTAGTTAGTTAGTTAGTTAGTTAGTTAGTTAGTAGTTAGTTAGTTAGTTAGTTAGTTAGTTAGTTAGTTAGTTAGTTAGTTAGTTAGTTAGTTAGTTAGTTAGTTAGTTAGTTAGTTAGTTAGTTAGTTAGTTAGTTAGTTAGTTAGTTAGTTAGTTAGTTAGTTAGTTAGTTAGTTAGTTAGTTAGTTAGTTAGTTAGTTAGTTAGTTAGTTAGTTAGTTAGTTAGTTAGTTAGTTAGTTAGTTAGTTAGTTAGTTAGTTAGTTAGTTAGTTAGTTAGTTAGTTAGTTAGTTAGTTAGTTAGTTAGTTAGTTAGTTAGTTAGTTAGTTAGTTAGTTAGTTAGTTAGTTAGTTAGTTAGTTAGTTAGTTAGTTAGTTAGTTAGTGAAAGTCATAACTGAGTTTCTTATATTCTTCTCGTGAAGAGTGTATGTAAGTATCTCATTCCCTTTATAATTTCTACAATACAGCCGATTAGGTCATGTCCGTCTGTCTGTCCGTCCGGCAGTGTGTCAATTGAAATCAATATTCTGAAGACTCAAAATATGTAACTTCGGATCAATAATTCTGTCAAGCATGCTTTCGAGAAGTTTCCTATTTAAAATCAGCAACATCCGTCCATAAATAACGGAGGTATGAGTATAAATCCGAGGCAACCTCTTTCATTATAAAAGACAAAGTTTTGCATGCTTCGGCATAACAGCAACAACAACAAACAATGGGAAAGTCGGGTAAAATGAAATGAATTGAAATTTTATAAAATTAACATTTTTTAAGCACACTAGGTGTAGCGTACATAAGTTTCGTCAAAGGCGAATCTAGACTTCTTACTTGTTTTTGTTTATATAGCATATTTCGAGGAGTTAATCACTTAAAATTCTCATATATTTTAAATTGTAATTACTTATAGTAATAATGCTAAATTACTCGCTGGGTTATTTGAGGTAATTTTCCTGTGTTATAAATAAAAATGCAGTTAAACGTATTTTATTACAGCTGAAACCAAATGTTTGCCTTTTTAACTACAAGTGCTAACTAAATGATTTAAACATTTTACATCAAAGAGTGATAATTCAAAAATGTTCTAAAATAAATAATATATTTTTAGTATTCAACAGCTTCTGTCTAAAATATAATAAGTTTTTAAAACTACTTAAAAATGAATTTTGTAGATTAATTCTGTTCTTAGGGTTTTTAACTAAAATCTCCCTACAATTGTTAAGACAAAAACGAATAGTTTTTGTAGGAACAAAATATCCTTATGATTAATTCTATAAGTCACTACAAGCCATTTACAATGTATCCACTTACTTAGGTAGACCAGTCCCCCTTTCACATACCAGCCAAAAATTAAACAAAAAGTCAGTTTGTATTTAAGCAACCTTATGCTCGTCTATATAAAACACTAGCTTTCATATACAACTTTCTATTTCTTTCTACTCGTGTACTAACTACAAAGTGTGGAACATAAGCTTTTTTTATTATTATTTATTTTTTTTTTCAGCGTCCTTCATACATAAAACTAATAAAAAATGAAATAGTATAGTGACCATAACGACTATACGACCGAGCTGTGTTAACGACATTGGTTGATGGTGATGATGATGATGAAAATTAACTATGATCATGTACCACACATAAACCGTCAAATGGTTTTTACCATTATATGTTCATATAATAGTGTTTCATATTACACACTTTATTTTGCCTCTTTTTTCCCCCCATTCTCAATATTGTTCTATGTCCAGCCATTCTTAGGTTTTTTTTGTAATGACTTTCTCATGTCAAGTGTTTTAGGTTGCCAAACACACTTATACACACATTCACATACTCAATCTAAAAACGTCAGTTGCTTTTTTTCTTTAAAGTAAAGTGCTCGTCCGTCAATACATTTCTTTCAGAGAAATGTCAATAACTTTTAGGGAATTTTTAGAAATTCTATTTTTAGTGGACTATGGAAGTTTTTTTGAAAATTGAAAATTTTTGATGTAAAGCCATACTAGCAATAGTAATCGATTTTTTTAAAAGGAAATTTAGTATGTATTTGTGAAGTGGAAATTATTAAAATTTAAAACGTATTGCTAAAACTATGGGTCTGTTCAATAACTAAAAGTTGTTACTAATTGTTACTAATTTTCACAAAAATATTTCAAATTTGTATTGAAATACAAAAACAATTTATGATAATTTGTAACAATTATTTGTTATTGGACATACATTATGTAATGTACTTCCATAACCACTTACTTTTCAATGCCTACTACTTACCGTCTGTATTACCTAGAAGTACTCTAGTAATGACTTTCTTAAAATCTGATATAGAAGTACTTTACTTACTAAACAACTTCCTTATAAGAGAAAATGAAAGTACTTCTTTAACTCCCTATTTGTAAGCAAGCGTGGAAGTACTTGCCTACAATGACATCATCGTGCTAAAATAATGACTTAATAAAGTAGTGAAAAAAGGTATTATTAGCATTTTAACTCATTACTTTTCAATGTAAGTTTTTCCTGGAGATTTGTATTAGCGACCACTTTACGAATTGGCTATGGTGACTTACTCACTTAATCCGTAAAGATCAGTTTACTTTACTGACCCATCATAATCATAGTAATGGCTTGTACTTACTCAAGAACTTACTTATCAATGACTAGTACATACCGTCAGCATTACAGTGACTTAGTATCATCACTTACCTTTTGCATTACACAGAAGTAGTTTATTAATGACTTTATTATGAATTTTCTTAATTTTTTCCTATTTACAGTTTAATTTTTTATTTTTGTGTTTATTTTATTTTAATTTTATGATTTATTTTATTTTTTATTAATTTATTTTTTTTTATTTTATTTATTATTTTTTTTAGGATTTACCCTTTGATTATAATGAAATTGATTTCGATGTAGGTGGTTCTGGTCTGGTATGTTTTTATTTTTCTTTATTTAAATTTTTATTTTATTATTTTTTTAATTTCTGTTCTTTTATGGTCCCTATTGTAACAGTTTTCCTCTGAAGATGCTTCCGGCGACACTTTTAATTGGGACGATGTAAGTAAAATATAAAATAGAAATTATTTTAATTTTTCTAACAAAAAACATACATATGCATATTATTTTTTTTTAAATTTTATTTGAATTGTTCGTTTTCTTTGAGACCTTTTAAATTCTTGGAAAAGCTGAAACTATGTTCCAAAATACTGTTTTAGTTCATCTCTTTTCTTGTTTGATATTTTTATATAATTTCTCAGAATTTACTGAGAAATGTTTTACATTTGGTTTCCAAAAATTGTGTGAATTTTTATTTGATCTTTGTGCTGTCATGTATATATACATGTCAATTAATAAAATATTTGTCTCCTTTTTTCAATTTGTGGCATAAATTTTATATTAAGGCCAAACATTCTAAAGTAGCCTGTAAAACAAAATTAAACAGAATTAATTCAATGCAATCAGGTAAAAGTGTTTATACCCTACACCACTTTAGTGGGGAGGGTATATTGGGTTTGTGCTGATGTTTGTAACGCACAATAATATTGGTCCTATACCCACCTTAAAGTATACCAATCGGCTTAGATTTAGCTATGTCCGTCTCTGTCTGACTGTCATCCACGTAAACCTTGTAATCAAACTATAGGTCGCAATTTCGAGGATAATTCAATGAAATTTGGTACATGATCTTCTATTGTCTCAGGAACAAAGCCTATTGAAAATGGTTATGATCGGTCCATTATTTCACCTAGCCCCTGTTCAACTGAACCCCCAAATAGGGCTTGTAAACCTTGTAATCAAACAACAGGTCGCAATTTTGAAAATAATTCAATGAAATTTGGCCTATTGAAAATGGTTAACATCGGTTCATTATTTCATCTAGCCCACATACAACTAAACCCCCGGAAAAAGGCTTTTAAGTTCATAGTTATGTATATTAATACTCGTATCTCGATAAGAAGCTGCAAAACCAAGTTTTATACTAGCCTTGATGACCCTGATATCATTTTGGTGAGAGGGCCTCATTTGACCCTAGCCCCTATACAAAGTCCTCTTCAAAATGTGAATTAAATGTATACAACCGTGATTTATTTCGTAAAATGAAAAATTTTACTGAATTTAATCTTAATATCATAACATTAGCAATGGACTGACCCACATATAATCCTCAGTAATAGTCCCATCCTCATGAAGTTCGATCGAAATGTTCGTTCGAAATGTCGATCTTTGTCATTATGCTATTATTTTTAACTCAATTATGGACATTGAAGTCATTTTCTAAAGGGGAGAGGCCATTAGATATAGAATTTGTCAGAAACTTTGATCCCAAAATTAATTACATTGCTGCACATTTGCCTCTAAACTGGGAGACATCGGGCTTAGGGAGGAAAAAGTCCTTGAAACGTATGTAAAATCTATTGGAATTATATATGGCAGGGCAGAGGTTAAAATATTAGATACATATGTATATAATCTAAGAACGTCTTGGAGCGTAGAAGTCCCTCAACCAAATACTGTCTATCGTTGAATAATAGGTATACCAGGACTCTCATAAATAATCGGCAACAAAAGAGAGAATACAAACTGAAGGGAACTCGAGTAAATTAAGCAGATGAATGCAAAACATGGACGAGACAGAATCCTACGATCACGGGAAATAATGATACTGTGGGTAGAACCACAACTGAAGTGTCATTGCCACACTTTTCCCGATATTAGGTCCAAATATCTTTTGAGCCTCAGAAACGCTGATTAGAAAATTTTAAGGAACTACTTCCAGGAAACTGGGTTTCTGAACATTAGTTTGTAGTACCTTCATAGAACCCTTACAGGTCCGAAAGCAGGGTATATCTTCGGATGTGATATAGTAATAATGCACTAAAAATTTTCACAAAAATGTAAATATTCTCTAACAATGTTCACTAAACATTAAGGTTTTTACAAAAAAAACTAAAAAATTTAAATTTTCACTAAAATTTAAAATTTTCTCTAAAAATTCAAAATTTTCTCAAAAAATTCAATTTTTACTAAAATTTTGATTTTCACTAAAAATTAAAATTTTCACTAATAATTAAAATTTTCACTAAAATATTAAAATTTCACTAAAATATTAAAATTTTCACTAAAATATTAAAATGTTCACTAAAAATTAAATTTTCATAAAATTAAATTTTCACTAAAATTTAAATTTTCACTAAAATTAAAATTTTCACCAAAATATAAAATTTCACTAAAAATTAAGATTTTCTCAAAAAAAAAAAAATAAAATTTTCACTAAAAATTTTAATTTTCACTAAAAAATCAAACATTCACTAAAATTAAATATTCACTAAAATTTAAATTTTCACTAAAAATTCCAAGTTTCACTAAAAATTCAAATTTTCACTAAAAATTCTAATTTTTCACTAAAAATTAAGATTTTCTCAAAAAATTAAGATTTTCTCAAAAAATTAAGATTTTCACTAAAAATTCAAATATTCACTAAAAATTTAAATTATCACTAAAAATCAAGATTTTCTCTAAAAATTAAGATTTTCACTAAAAATTCAAATATTCACTAAAAATCCAAATATTCACTAAAAATTCAAATTTTCACTAAAAATTCTAATTTTTCACTAAAAATTAAAATTTTTCACAAAAAATTTAAATTTTCTCTAAAAATTCAAAGTTTCACTAAAAATTAAAATTTTCACTAAAAAATAAAATATTCAATAAAAATTAAAATTTTTACTAATAATTAAAATTTTCACTAAAAATTAAAATTTGTACTAAAAACTCAAACTTTCACTAAAAATTTTAATTTTCACTTAAAAATAAAATGTTTACTTAAAAATTATCCATATTTTTCTACAAATCTTTTCAAATTAATGCTTGTATTAAAAAATAAAACTTATTTTGTTTGCAAGGGCATCAAAGATTTTTATTCTAATAGATATTTTATCTCTAGAATTTATAAAAAATATGATTAAATGTATTTTTCTTGTAGTTATTGAAGAGTTTATTTGATTCGGCACAACACAACTGAACGTTTGACTTTAGTGTTTGCTTTTATTGCAAGTATGTATATGTACACACTTGTAATTTTGAGAAGCATATGGTCTCTGCTGTTTTATTTTAAGTTTCATGTTTTATAAAGTTTTTAATAAATATAAATTGTAAAATATTTTTTCAAACATAAAACATTCTTCGACATTACAAAAGATTTCAAGTGCGTACAATATCTGACATGTTTTGTTTGACTTTAAATATTAATCAGAAACTGCCAACAGTTTACAAGGCCCTTAGAAAAAGATCACTACAAACAATGACATTTTAAGATGATAATGGTATCTTTTAGAGTAAAAAGGCTTTTAAAGCAAAACATTGCAGTTTACTACACAATATCAGTAACCTATAAATTGAATAGAATTGTTATAGAATGTATCATGCTAAAGTTTGTTGACCAAGGCCTAGGGACAGGTAATAATTTTAACACTTTTTATTATTCATTTAACATGGCAATAGCCTAATAACAGTGCAAAAAAAATCCCCGAATACTACTAAGTAGCTCCATTAAAAATCGTCCTTAACTTTCCCATTTATGAATCCTTAATATGCTCATTTCATTTTATCAAATAAAACTTAAATAAAATATTTTTTCTCTACCAAAAATTTTCCTACATGTTTTTATAGTATTTTATTGTTGTTGTTTTCTGTAACTTTATTATATATTTTTTCCCAACGCACTGACAGTTTCATTGTGGTTGACTTTTGTGTTTTCTGTAGACGAGTGTGCAAAGAGAAAAAATTCAACTTTTTACACACTTACCAAAAGATGCATAAGCAAGTGTGTGTGGGGAATAAGTATTAGGGTGGTACTTGATATATTTATCTTGTACTTTGATTTTCATATCCAATTAATAATAATCTGTTATGTTAGTCATTTTTTGAAAGTTTTACCTTTTATAAAAACTTGAATTATATTAAATTTGATTTCAAAAGGAATTTGTTAATTATTAAAATTCTGTAAGTTTGTCCTTAAAAAATATACATTGTTGTTTTTAAATTGGAATCATAATAACTTATGTAGTTAAGGATTGTACCTAAAGTAGTTTTAACGAAGTATTTTAATTTAGCTACTTTCACTTGAGTGACGCAAAACGTGGCGTGGTGTTTATAGATAGATAGACAGACAGATAGATAGATAGATAGATAGATAGATAGATAGATAGATAGATAGACAGACAGATAGATAGATAGATAGATAGATAGATAGATAGATAGATAGATAGATAGATAGATAGATAGATAGATAGATAGATAGATAGATAGATAGATAGATAGATAGATAGATAGATAGATAGATAGATAGATAGATAGATAGATAGTAGATAGATAGATAGATAGATAGATAGATAGATAGATAGATAGATAGATAGATAGATAGATATATAGATAGATAGATAGATAGATAGATAGATAGATAGATAGATAGATAGATAGATAGATAGATAGATAGATAGATAGATAGATAGATAGATAGATAGATAGATAGATAGATAGATAGATAGATAGATAGATAGATAGATCGATCGTAGATAGATAGATAGATAAGATAGATAGATAGATAGAAAGTTAGATAGATAGTATAGTTAAGTTAGTTAGTTAGTTAGTAGTTAGTTAGTTAGTTAGTTAGTTAGTTAGTTAGTTAGTTAGTTAGTTAATTAGTTAGTTAGTTAGTTAGTTAGTTAGTTAGTTAGTTAGTTATTTAGTTAGTTAGTAGTTAGTTAGTTAGTTAGTTAGTTAGTTAGTTCGTAGTTAGTTAGTTAGTTAGTAGTTAGTTAGTTAGTTAGTTAGTTAGTTAGTAGTTAGTTAGTAGTTAGTAGTTAGTTAGTTAGTTAGTTACTTTAGTTAGTTAGTTAGTTAGTTAGTTAGTTAGTTAAGTTAGTTAGTTAGTTAGTTAGTAGTTAGTAGTTAGTTAGTTAGTCTTAGTTAGTTAGTTAGTTAGTTACTTACTTACTTAGTTAGTTAGTTACTTACTTAGTTAGTTAGTTAGTTAGTTAGTTAGTAGTTAGTTCGTA